CGCTCTTGTCACAGATATAGCATGATTTTGCCTAAAAACCACGATAGACCTGTAGGGGCCGCGGCGGTCTACATATATTTTTTGTATCAAATTTGCGTAAAAAAATCCCTTCATGGACATACTATATCTGTGACAGACCCCCACAGACATACTATGTCCGTGGCAGTCTTTAATCCACGCCGTCCAAAAAAATTGGACGGCGCCAAGCCTATGGGCGAAAATACTGTTCATTTTCACCCATAGGCATTTTTTAGTCTCTTCCTATATATCAATCTTATACCATAAAAGTAAGGCGCACCTCACAAATCCATAGGAAAAGGTTGTTATGATGTTGTAACAACTCCCCCAATTCATCATCCCAACCTCAAGATGTATGGAGATGAAAAGATTAAAAGGATTTCAAGTCCTAAAAATGGTGCATCTTGTGCCACTTTTATATGGACAAGTTGTTTTCAAGATTGCAAGCGTTTATATCTACACCATTTTTGGAGCATTAAATTTCATAATAAGGGGCAGAAATAGATTCTCAGGCCATCATAAGGGTTTTTGGCGCCAGAGCTGTATCTTGGGGTAAGGTTTGGAGGTTCACCTTACGTAGATTATTAAAGTCGACGCGTTATATAAACGCCATCCCCCCCCCTGCCCCCCAACATACACACACACACACACACAAACAAAATTTAGTTTTGCACCCATCCCTAAGTAGAAAAGTAATTTTTTCCATGACAAAATACCCACCTGCCCCAGTAAGGCATGTTTTCTCAAGGAAAAATATCAAATCACTGTGCTGGACCAACTTCAAGAGAGACCTAAAGCTAGTATCAAACTTGTTCCAATAGAGTCCAAAAGTCGTTCCAGCATGCTATGTGCCAGACCGATTTCATTTAAAAATAAATAGTTTAGGGCCAAGGGGTTTATCTGTTATTTTTCTTAGAATTTACTAAAAAACTTTTGACCATAAAATGCCCTTATATGTTCAAAAATTACTTTTGACTAAGTAGTTTATATTTTTTAAGAATAGCATGAATAAAATATGGAGAGAGAGAGAGAGAGAGCGAGAGAGAGAGAGAGAGAGATCCCAGAATTTATAAGGTGAGAAGGTTCCAACGGTTTAGGTAGCCATTAGTTATGCACTATCGGAGAATAGTTGAATTCTTGATGGAAAATAAAAAAGAACCAGAGACCATTGTTACTAGTTGATCACGTGCATACTTCCCTAAGAACGTATGAACTGGAGATTAAGTAGGTAGTTTGACATAGTAAATGTTAGAAACTTGATTGTTCAATTACGACCTTCAGCCTTTAGATTGTGTGATCTAGATTCATTTGAGGACTAAACTAGCAAATGTGCTGAGATACACCTGAGACAGTTGAACTTTGAGGAACACAAAAAAATATATGAATGGCTGCTGAAGTGTCTTCTAGCATCAGCTAAACCGTCTATATAAATCCTCAAGCTAGGAGTGCCTGTCCACAATTCTCGTTACTAGTTGCTACTCTGAACACAAGCCAACTGATCACAGCCTCTCTAAAAGAGAAGTCTCAATGATGCTCTTTTTTCCATTTGCTCCCTGTTAGTACAAAGACAGTCTACATCTATATATGCTTATTCATGCATAGTGCATTTGGTTGCAGGCGAAGTGAGCGGCACTTGAATTGTAAGAAAATATATTGTTAGCACTGAAGAGACACTCTATTTATTGGTCTATTTAATTAATCCACACTTGTTATATATCATATAACATTGTTTCATTGGTCCATGTCCATTTTGATCTATGTATACTTTTAACTCTAGCCTCAAAGCTCGCATAGAAGACGTCTTTCATGCTGTGTTTCTCACTTACAGAGGGCGCCAAAGGAGATATTAGTTTATAAGATTTCTCTCTTACTGGGGAAGTAGTTAATTGGATCCTCTGTTTCCTTTCACAAATATCCCTCTTCACCTATTTCTTGTGTCCTCTATTTTTTTTTTGATGATTTTATCCTCTATGCACTATACTTGCTGAACCCACCACACACAGAACACAACATCTATTTTGAGAGAATCAAATGAAAGAAAAATTCAAATAACTAAAACACACTATGCTCCTGGATACTGCACCTTGAACTAGTTGATATATTGACATCAAGATTAATTCCCCCTGGATACTGCACCTTGAACTAGTTGATATATTGACATCAAGATTAATTCCCCCTGGATACTGCACCTTGAACTAGTTGATATATTGACATCAAGATTAATTCCCCCATGGTTATACCATAGTTACAAAGGAGAGACCAAAATTAAATATCCTATATTCCTAATTCAACTAGGAAGTGGAAAGTGATTTAGGTGTCCTAATTGGGGTCTGATATGTTATACCTAGGGCAGCGGCTGCTATAGTATTCCTATATATGGTTGCATAAATAGAAGAACCCTGTCATTATGCTGAGTTTTGCACATATTTTATGATTTTAAAGAAGGGTCCACTTATGGTGCAGCCCTGGCTCAACCATTGCTGCCACACTCAAGACTCCATTTTTCAACCATCGAGGGCCCAAAAATAATCTGCAAATCCATCTTCATCACAGTCATATGATTTCGGAGCTTCCAAAGAGCTCTGAACCTGATCGATCTACTCTCCATTGGAGTGAATGGTTATGTTCAGATCGCAATCTACATGAGGCATTTTTAGGGCCTTAAGCCCTTTTATTTGAAGCAGATTGATCTTGGAGACTGAGTGGATTCAGAGTTACTTGGGTTCAAATCCATTTGGAAACGTGGAGGATTGAGGTGTGTCAGCATGGGTTTGTGTAGTCACTGCAATGCCAAATGGTTTAAGGAACATGATTCGCTTAATCACCAATATCACTTGATGGAAAAGGGTGAATTTGGAGCTCTGTAATGCTCAATCTCTGCTGCTCATCTCTTTTGAGATAAGTGTCCATTTCAATGGATGGTAGAGCATCCGATATGGAGCAATTTTCTGTTAAAGATAATAATTTACCACTGTTTTCCTGGGTCCTAAAACTTTGGAGAAAGATTGAGATTGAGAGATGTGGGCTCGAGTTTATGGTTGCAGCTTGCATGCACCATACATCCTTTATTTAGGCACTGTTTGATTTCAGATTTCGTTAGAATGTTGTTCTTCGTTTCTAATTGCAATTAACGAAATGGCAATCTGGCCAATTATAATTTTGTCTAGATGGTGTTTGATTGTTCTAATTTGAAATACAATTTGTTGTTGTGGTGGTGGTGGTAGTGGTAGTGGTAGTGGTAGTGGTGACGGCAATAGTAGTGGCTAGGCTCCGCTAATTGGTGCGGCTGTAGTGATGATGGTAGTAGAAGTTGTGGTGGTGACCGTGATGATGGGATGCGTGGTTTCGTTTAGGTGTAGCTAGGCTTGGTGGCCACGATGTAGGGTTGGGGGTGGCAACGGGGCGGTCCCGCTGGACCCTGACCCAAATATTATTCGGGTGAATAGTATTCGGGTCCAGGTTTTGGACCCGGACCCGACCTATACATGTACGCGTTGGGTCCCGGGTCTGGTCAAGTCCATTGTCACCCTATGACTATGAGCTTCTTCTACTTTTTTACTATCATATACCCATATTATTGACAACAAGGTCACAATCACCCACCATTAGATTTCAAGTTGTATGATTTGTCGTTTAATAGCTAAAAATGACTGAGTTCTTATTGTATATGATCCTTAATATCTGCAACGGTTTATGGGAACATATTGGGTCAGACTAGACCCCAACCCGAGTAGTGTTCAGATTCAGGTTTTGGACCCGGACCAGACCCATCTGATCCAAAAATTGGACCCATACCCAAACCCGAGGCCGGGTATACCCATCGGGTCCATTGCCACCCCTAGGGGTGGAAATGGTGATAAAAGAGAGAGAGAGAGAGAGAGAGAGAGAGAGAGAGAGAGAGAGAGAGAGAGAGAGAGTAGAGTAGTATAACGTAAACGTAACTAACTAACTAACGTTAACGTACGTTAACTAACGTAACGTACGTAACTAACGTAACGTACGTAACGTACGTA